TGCAAGCCCCCCCAACGTACGAGCACAGCCGGGTGGTCAGGGTACCGATTTTTAGGGCTTTTTTCCCAGTGCCAGCTTAAAGAAAGCCAGGGGTCGGGTTGGTAACCCCCCCCTTTATGTAGGGTGGGAGGCAGTTGAACATCTGGGGCCCCCTGAAAATTATTGTATTGTTCTTAACGTGCTAGTGACACCCCCTTCTTTTCATTGGGGGGTGTTGCATCTTTCTGCCGAGTCTTTGTTTTTCGTTGTGTTTTTCCCGTGTGTTTTTTTGGTACTAGTCCTCTGGATTTTCCGGGGTTAAAATATGTATCTTACCCCGCCCTGTTTTTCCCAGGGAAAAACAATTTTAGGAACCTAAACCCCTCCCAGAAAATTGGGGGTTTTTTTATCTCCAAATTATGGCGCCGTGAAGTTTCCGGTACATTTTCTAGGTCAGCAATTTCACCTCCCTTGAAAGGTGCTGTTAATGGCGGGCAATAGATAAAAAAAGCGACCTAAAAGGGTCAAAATGGGTTTTGGCATCCCTATTTTTAAAGGGTTCTCTTTGTCCTTTCCTGGCATTTTTTCTAGCAAAGATGGGGAATTGATAAAAAGTTATGGTCCTTAAAGGGTTTAAGTTCCCGACATACACCCCCAGGTTTTTGACTTTGGTTTTTTTCGCTTATTTTGGGGGAATTTGTAAAAAAATCTTAACTATGTTTTATTTGGGGTTTGGGGCAAAAATTTAAATTGCTCTTGTTTTTAAAAAGGGTTAGGTAACCCTTTTTAAATTTTTTTGGTGAAAAAATTAAAAAATTTTACATTAACATTATTGAAAAAACTATCTTTAAACGTACAAGAGAAAATTTCAGGGAAAAGGGTTAAATTTTTAAAAAAGGTTTTTGCTCAATTACCAGGGGTTTTACTATTTTGGCCGACGGGGTGTGTGTGTTGGTGTGTGTGGGTTGGGGTTTTGTGTGTGTGTGTGGTGTGTATATATATAATATTTTTATATATAATATTATATATATTATATATATAAAAATTTTTTATGGGAAACAAAGTTAAAAAAAGAGAAATTTAGAGAGGGGTGAGATGTTATCAAAAAAATTTTGTTGAAAATAAGAAAAAGTTTTGGAAGTGAGATTAACAAAATTAAGAAAGCCTAGAGAACAAATGGAATTTTTCAGTTAAAAAAAGGAGGGGGAGAAATTATTAAATGGAGGGGGGTTAGAGGGATTGGGAAGAGGAAAAGGGAAAATTTTTAGGAATTGTTTTAAAAGTTGATGAAGAAAAGGGAAGCTGTGATTTCGTGTAAAGGGGGCAAGGGGGAATAAAAATCCCTTTTAAAGGGGTGAGGGAAAAGCCCCGTTGTGAGTGTGGGGGAAGTTCGTGAGGGGAGTAAGGGAAAAAAGAAAGGGGGTAAAGGAAACGGGGATTGATGGGATAAAGAAAAAATTTTTAAAAGCAGGGGGGGATATGGGTTTTTGGGGTGGTTGGGGCAAATTTTTTAATAAATTTATGGAAAAGGGTAAGGGACCTTGGGAAATTGGGGAGGAGCTGCATTTGTTTCCCCTTTTTATAAAGGCAAAGGGGATTTTAAAAGAGATGCAAAAATTATAGGGGGAAAAATTTTTTGGAAATGTCCTGGGAAAATGAAAGGTTTGAGTTTTTAATTAAAAAAATTAAAAGTAAGAAAGGGGGAAAAAAGGATAGCAGATGAACAAGGAAAAGGCCCCCAGGAAAAAGGGAAAGGGGGTGGAGGAAACCCCGGTGTTTCCCGTGGGAAAAAATATAAGTTGGAAAAGTATTTAGATAAGGTAAAAAAGGTTTTTTGTGGCATTTATGGGGTTTGGAAAAGGCATAAGACAGGGTGGATAGGGGGCAATGTGGAAAAGTTGCAAGTGTATGGTTTTAGGAGGTAGGGTTTTGAAAGCAGTGAAGAGTTTTTACGAGGATGTGAGGGGTCAAAAGTTTGGTATGTAGGAAAAAAAGGGAAAATTTTTCCCAGTAAAAGTAGGGGCCCTTTGACAAGGATGTGTGGGTGTCACCCCGGGGTTTTTTAATATATTTATAGATGGGGTTGTAAGAGAAGAAAATTTCAGGGTCTTTGGGGAAAGGCGTTGGGAGTTAAAAGATAAAGAATCACACACAAAGTGGGAGTTGTCACAGCTGCTCTTTGCTGATGACACTGTGCTCTTGGAGATTCGAAGAGAAGTTGCAGAGATTTGGTGGATGAATTTGGTAGGGTGTGCAAAAGAAGAAAATTAAAGGTGAATACAGGAAAGAGTAAGGTTATGAGGATAACAAAAAGATTAGGTGATGAAAGATTGAATATCAGATTGGAGGGAGAGAGTATGGAGGAGGTGAAGGTATTCAGATATTTGGGAGTGGACGTGTCAGCGGATGGGTCTATGAAAGATGAGGTGAATCATAGAATTGATGAGGGAAAAAGAGTGAGTGGTGCACTTAGGAGTCTGTGGAGACAAAGAACTTTGTCCTTGGAGGCAAAGAGGGGAATGTATGAGAGTATAGTTTTACCAACGCTCTTATATGGGTGTGAAGCGTGGGTGATGAATGTTGCAGCGAGGAGAAGCTGGAGGCAGTGGAGATGTCATGTCTGAGGGCAATGTGTGGTGTGAATATAAATGCAGAGAATTCGTAGTTTGGAAGTTAGGAGGAGGTGCGGGATTACCAAACTGTTGTCCAGAGGGCTGAGGAAGGGTTGTTGAGGTGGTTCGGACATGTAGAGAGAATGGAGCGAAACAGAATGACTTCAAGAGTGTATCAGTCTGTAGTGGAAGGAAGGCGGGGTAGGGTCGGCCTAGGAAGGGTTGGAGGGAGGGGGTAAAGGAGGTTTTGTGTGCGAGGGGCTTGGACTTCCAGCAGCATGCGTGAGCGTGTTTGATAGGAGTGAATGGAGACAAATGGTTTTAATACTTGACGTGCTGTTGAGTGTGAGCAAAGTAACATTTATGAAGGGATTCAGGGAAACCGGCAGGCCGGACTTGAGTCCTGGAGATGGGAAGTACAGTGCCTGCACTCTGAAGGAGGGGTGTTAATGTTGCAGTTTAAAAACTGTAGTGTAAAGCACCCTTCTGGCAAGACAGTGATGGAGTGAATGATGGTGAAAGTTTTTCTTTTTCGGGCCACCCTGCCTTGGTGGGAATCGGCCGGTGTGATAATAAATAATAAATAAAAAAAAAAATATATATATATAAATATAATATATATATATATATATATATATATATATATATATATATTAAATATATATATATATTATATATATATATATATATATAAAGAACATAAGAACATAAGAACGAAGGAACACTGCAGAAGGCCTACTGGCCCATGCGAGGCAGGTCCAAGTCCCTACCGGCTTAAGCCAATGCACCCAACCTAGTCAGGTCAGGTCACATTGAGTTAAGGGAGGAACACGGCAACCGACCTGTTAGCACAAGCTATCAGGTCTAACTCACACCCACCCACATCTACTCATGTATTTATCCAACCTATTTTTAAAGCTACACAACGTTCTTGCCTCTATAACGGTACTTGGGAGTTTGTTCCACTCATCCACAACTCTATTACCAAACCAGTACTTTCCTGTTAGCACAAGCTATCAGGTCTAACTCACACCCACCCACATCTACTCATGTATTTATCCAACCTATTTTTAAAGCTACACAACGTTCTGGCCTCTATAACGGTACTTGGGAGTTTGTTCCACTCATCCACAACTCTATTACCAAACCAGTACTTTCCTATATCCTCCTGAATCTGAATTTTTCCAACTTAAAACCATTGCTGCGAGTCTGTCTAGGCTAGATATTTTCAGCACACTATTTACATCCCCTTTATTTATTCCTGTCTTCCACTTATAAACCTCAATCATATCCCCCCTGATTCTACGTCTTTCTAGAGAGTGCAGTTTCAGGGCCCTTAGTCTATCCTCATAGGGAAGGTTTCTGATACATGGGATCATCTTTGTCATCCTCCTTTGTACATTTTCCAGAGAACTTATATCCATTCTGTAATACGGTGACCAAAACTGTGCAGCATAATCTAAATGAGGCCTAACCAAGGATGTATAGAGTTGAAGAACAACCTGAGGACTCCTATTATTTATGCTTCTTGATATGAAGCCAAGGATTCTATTAGCTTTATTGCGAACACTTATGCACTGTTGTCTTGGTTTCAGATTACTGCTAACCAGATATATATATATATATATATATATATATATATATATATATATATATATATATATATATATATATATATATATATATTATATATATATATAATTATATTTACACACATACACGAGAGAGGGAGATTATATAGATAGGTATAGGGGCGAGAGGGAAAGATAGAGAAATGGGGTGAGGGACACAGACATATCATTATTATCATTATCATCATTATCATCATCCAAACGTAACCGCCTGCAGCGACATAATTATACAAGAAGTGTTTGAGGCAGTTATCCACTTAATGACCTATTTACACGCACAAACAATACATTAATGCTAATTGACTGGTCTGTTGCCAGACATCCAAAGCGTTCATCCTGCTCGTTAGTTAAAATTGTTAACCCTCAACTGATTCCATTGATCACTTAAGTATTCAGTCATCTCTCCTTGCTCGCTCTCAAGCGCGCTCTGGTGCTTACCGACAGCCTGAGTGATCAGAGGCCTGGCTGTTGTTGGCAAGACGGAGGATCAAGTCACAACTGTCAAATGACTCAAAGGGGTCTAACGCTTCTCGAAATTAAATTTTAAATAAAGTCTGGTTTGTTTTACTTTAACTTTGTCTCTCTAGTGAATTTGTTGCTTTGTTTTTTGGGCTTTTGCTTTCTATGTTGCTTTCTCGTGCTACCTCCATTGCTTTCTTGTTTTCTTTTTCTTACCTGCTTTCTTATGTTTTTTTCACCTTTCTCCTTTGCTTTTCCTTCCACTCCCTCCTCCTACCTCTTAAATCATCCTTAACCCGTGTCTCTCTCCCTTCCTCAGGCCTGAAGACTATCATCAACGCCCTGCTCAACAGCATCAAGCAACTGGTGGAGGTGATGACGCTCACAGTGTTCTGTCTGATGGTGTTCGCGCTGTTCGCCCTACAGGTGTACATGGGCGTTCTCAAGAACAAGTGCGTCAAGAACATGGGTCACAACCTGACCAACGAGGAGTGGCGGAGGTGAGTAAGACCAGTCTGTCAGTTGAGTGTTCGTTGTGTTGACACGGGAGTGCTGCCGACGGTGTTTTAGACACAGCTAGGTTTTATTGTCACAGCTTTGCTGTGTCGAGCTTTACCAGGTCAGTGATAAAGCTTTACATAGAGCTGACTCTTGTCACCGTAATAGCTTGCTTTGTACCAGTGTTTTCACTGTGCATTGTGTGCCTGAGGAAGTGTTTTCTGATGGGTTCTCGAAGCCTGACTGTGTTGTTTTGGCCTGGTAGTTTTTGTCCGTGCCTGGCATTTATAATGTGGAGGGAGGCGGGGAAGCACCTTGATGCTGGTGACTGGCTCTTGATCCAGAAACATGGATCTATTCAATTGGGATCAAACCTGATTAACCCTTCCCCTCCCCCCTTTAAGCCTCTCAAGTGGTGTATGAGCTTCACATGCTCAGTGTTAACTCACGAGGAAAGAAGTCATTGCCAGCATCTGTTAAACTGCCTGCTTTTGGGATCTTTGAAGATGTAGTTTTAAATTATTTATGTATAAGTTAAATGATAAACCATTGTAGATGTTTTATCAGGGTGATCGACACTAGATCCTCAGTCAAATAATAGCTATACACACACACACACACACACACACACACACACACACACACACACACACACACACACACACACACACACACACGTACGTAATTGAAGTAATTGTTACAGCTGAAATCTAGTGTGGTAGTGAACCCATTCACGAGCTATGGGGGGTCACGACTAGGGTGAGATCGCGTACATATCTGCTTTGTGTGTGTAGGTGTAGGCGGGGTGGTGTTGGGAGGGTGATAGCAGTAGTGGTGATACAAAGGCTGTGAGAGTGGGTTGGTTGTTGGGGTGGTGGTGGTGGAGGAGAGGCTTTGTGCGTAGTGGCAAAGTTGAAGAGTTATCTCAAGTTTGGCTTGTGGCAGAGCGAAATGGATGGCTTTGTTGAGAGAGAGAGCTAGAGGCTATGTTTCTGTGTCAGATAAATACTTTTTTTTCTTCATCTATGTCATGTGTTTGTGTTTCGGGTCTGTGTCCCCTCCCTCCTTCTCTACTACTATTCCCATCGCTCGCCTTCACCCTTCTCTACACGAGTTTTGTGGTCAGAAAGTGGTGGTCCCGCAGGACGCAGCAGACAAGCAGCAAGTTCGTGAGGTGGGTGTCTGCTTCTGCTCCACTAGTATCTTCACTAGGAGTAAATTCTCCAGTAGTTGAGGGTAAGACACACACGCCTCACTCATGAACACTTATTGGTCTGGAATTTTGCTGCTCCTGTGTGCACCTGACATGACCTTCATTGTGTACCATCATTATTTGTGTTGATGTTTCTGTTAACCCAGGTGTTATCATCCTAGACTCGGGCCACACTAGTTTGGAAATGGGTTTTAAAACCACTGAGGTGGCTTTAAACCCTCAGGGGCGTTGTCTTCTTCTAACACACCGTGCTTCGTTTAATCTCTCCTTCCTCTGATCAGACCTGATATCCCTTCCCATTCTCCGGGCTGTGTACGACTCCACAACCTTAGTGCTTCCCTTGAATAAAAGAATTTAACACCAGTTTTAGTAGTGTTGTTACTCCTTGTACAGTGACATGTGTACAGTGACGTGTACAGTGACATGTGTACAGTGACATGTGTACAGTGACATGTGTATAGAGACATGTGTATAGAGACGTGTACAGATGGGTGTCAATACAGTATTAATGGGGAATGAGTCACAAAACACCGTGTACAATAATTCACAAAACTGATAACACCGTGTACAATAATTCACAACACTGATAACTCCGTGTACAATAATTCACAACACTGATAACTCCGTGTACAATAATTCACAACCGACTGATAACACCGTGTACAATAATTCACAACCTACTGACAACACCGTATACAATAATTCACAACCGACTGATATCACCGTGTACAATAATTCACAACCGACTGAACACCGTGTACAATAATTCACAAGTGACTGATAACACCGTGTACAATAATTCACAAGTGACTGATAACACCGTGTACAATAATTCACAACCGACTGATAACACCGTGTACAATAATTCACAACCGACTGATAACACCGTGTACAATAATTCACAACCGACTGATAACACCGTGTACAATAATTCACAACGACTGATACACCGTGTACAATAATTCACAACGACTGATATCACCGTGTACAATAATTCACAACCGACTGATAACACCGTGTACAATAATTCACAACCGACTGATATCACCGTGTACAATAATTCACAACCGACTGATAACACCGTGTACAATAATTCACAACCGACTGATAACACCGTGTACAATAATTCACAACCGGCTGATAACACCGTGTACAATAATTCACAACCGACTGATATCACCGTGTACAATAATTCACAACACTGATAACGCCGTGTACAATAATTCACAACACTGATAACGCCGTGTACAATAATTCACAACCGACTGATACCCGTGTACAATAATTCACAACGACTGATAACACGTGTACAATAATTCACAACCGACTGATAACACCGTGTACAATAATTCACAACCGACTGATACCGTGTACAATAATTCACAACACTGATAACACCGAGTGCAATAATTCACAACACTGATAACACCGTGTACAATAATTCACAACCGACTGATAACACCGTGTACAATAATTCACAACACTGATAACACCGTGTACAATAATTCACAACCGACTGATAACACCGTGTACAATAATTCACAACCGACTGATAACACCGTGTACAATAATTCACAACCGACTGATAACACCGTGTACAATAATTCACAACACTGATAACACCGTGTACAATAATTCACAACCGACTGATAACACCGTGTACAATAATTCACAACCGACTGATAACACCGTGTACAATAATTCACAACACTGATAATCACCGTGTACAATAATTCACAACCGACTGATAACACCGTGTACAATAATTCACAACCGACTGATAACACCGTGTACAATAATTCACAACCGACTGATACACCGTGTACAATAATTCACAACGACTGATACACCGTGTACAATAATTCACAACCGACTGATACACCGTGTACAATAATTCACAACCGACTGATAACACCGTGTACAATAATTCACAACCGACTGATAACACCGTGTACAATAATTCACAACCGACTGATAACACCGTGTACAATAATTCACAACCGACTGATATCACCGTGTACAATAATTCACAACCGACTGATAACACCGTGTACAATAATTCACAACCGACTGATAACACCGTGTACAATAATTCACAACCGACTGATAACACCGTGTACAATAATTCACAACCGACTGATAACACCGTGTACAATAATTCACAACCGACTGATAACACCGTGTACAATAATTCACAACCGACTGATAACACCGTGTACAATAATTCACAACCGACTGATAACACCGTGTACAATAATTCACAACCGACTGATAACACCGTGTACAATAATTCACAACCGACTGATAACACCGTGTACAATAATTCACAACCGACTGATAACACCGTGTACAATAATTCACAACCGACTGATAACACCGTGTACAATAATTCACAACCGACTGATAACACCGTGTACAATAATTCACAACCGACTGATAACACCGTGTACAATAATTCACAACCGACTGATAACACCGTGTACAATAATTCACAACCGACTGATAACACCGTGTACAATAATTCACAACCGACTGATAACACCGTGTACAATAATTCACAACCGACTGATATCACCGTGTACAATAATTCACAACCGACTGATAACACCGTGTACAATAATTCACAACCGACTGATAACACCGTGTACAATAATTCACAACCGACTGATAACACCGTGTACAATAATTCACAACCGACTGATATCACCGTGTACAATAATTCACAAGTGACTGATAACACCGTGTACAATAATTCACAACCGACTGATATCACCGTGTACAATAATTCACAACCGACTGATAACACCGTGTACAATAATTCACAACCGACTGATACCGTGTACAATAATTCACAACCGACTGATACCGTGTACAATAATTCACAAGTCAGTACAAACTCGTATAACCGAGCTGTATTTTATTGATAGCAATGAAAATTTGCTTTAAGTATAATTAAGTAATCTATTAATCACAAGTAATATTTTTGCTAATCATTAGTTATATTATTGCTAATTAACTCACATTTGTTCATTTAGCGAGGGTATAAATATTAAAAAACAAAAATTAGATAAAAATTTATGGTGCAATTATTTGCAGTGATTTAAAAGATAGTTTGGTAGATTGTCTACTCAAGGGAGCGGTGCCTTGATGCCGTTGAGGGGTTCTTGATCCACGGAGCTAGAGGTTTTCTCTTCCATGGATCAAACCTCGAATGCCCCCCTTCTATTTCTAGGTGCCTATTTCTAGTTGTCTGTTTCTAGCTCCGGAAGCAGAACTTTCGTGATGTATTTTTTATTTAATAATCCATACGTACTTATACACGTACATGTTTACATGTACGTGCTTGTGTGTAAACGTGTACGTCATTTGAGGGAAGGAACACTGAAGGCAGACACGGAACTGCCCCCGCCCCCACCCTGCAGCAGACGGGGGCAGACACCCCGGCCAGCAGACAATATCTCATCTCGCCTTCTGTTACTCATTTGTTCGCAACAACAAAACAGAACTGTGAGAGAGAGAGAGAGGGGAGGCAGGCAGGCTATTATCTCCATATATTGCACAAGAGGTGGACCCCATATATATATATATATATATATATATTATATATATATATATATTATATATATTATAATATATATATATATAATATATATATATAAATCACACACACACAGGTGAGACAACTGTCATCATAGACATGAATCCTCTCAACATTTTAGATAACATTGAGTGTTTCTGGAAGTGTCGCTGTCAGCCAGTTCACAATTTTATTTCTTTTACTGTTATAAATATCACTAAGTCTTTTTATAC